ATATATGAGGCTGCTAGCTCTGGCCAAATGAGCATAAACCCGTATGGCTGGACCAGTGATGGTGCACAAAGAACACCATATCCTTCCCAGGTATTAAATGAAGGTTTGTCTTAAATACTAAGATTTTTTTAGTCATTAAGATTATATGGAGAACACTTTGCGTTATAATCAAGAATGCTATTCTTCTGAAATTATGGTTTGGTGAACAAGGTTCAAATTCACGTGCGGCTGCAATGTCAACCACTGTGTGAAGAACAGTTTAAACCGATTATTGCTGATAACTACTACAATCATAATCATTTCTGGTTTGAGCTTGACCATGTTCAAACCAGCAAGCTGATGTCCTTATTAGCATCTTTAGCTGTTTCCCCTGGCACCTCTGTATTGACACAGAAGATAGAGAAGTGGAGAAACATGCTCCAACCTGGTCCCTTATCTAAATCAAGAGGGGAAGATGAAGGAGACAACTTGCCTGCTTCAGAAAGTGACCACACTGATAATTCAAGTACAAAGTCAGATTCTGCACACATTGCTTCTTCAGATGTAGATAATCAACCAGTGAAAGATCAGTTGGATATGACAGCAGTGGAACAAGAAGAGAGAGAGCTAATATTCAAGAAGTTGCAAGAATTGGCTCTCAGATCTGAACCTCAAGCCTCTTCTTTGAGGGATGGCACAGAAGATTCTTCTCCTTTACATGATATGCACTTGGAGGAGAAGGCTTCTGCAGAGGGGCAGATGGGTTCAGAGGAAAAGAATGATGTCAATCCTTGTACCTTTTGTCAATCTACCATTGCTCAGGTGGAGTTTTTCTTTTATTTATTCATCTTAATCATGTCATGGATGACGACATTTTATTCAATGATATTCATTTCTCTCTCTTGCTGTTTTTGTTCTGTCTATATTTGTAGTTGGTTCAAGGGATGGAGGAGCTTAAGGCTTTTAGAACAGAACAAACTCTGAAGATGGGTTATTTAGAACAGAAGCTGGTATTGTTTAAGTGCCTCAAGACTTCTGTTTTTGTAGTTGCTATGTTCTAGATGTTGAAATGCCTTTTTTTATTTAACTTCAGGCAGATTGAAGTTTGCCATGCCAATTGGTAAGTAATTGGACATCCAGTGGGATTGAACTGGCTACAATATTTTTGTAGAGTGATTGAAGGGACTGGTCTTTAACTGGTAATGGCCTTTGTTATTTGTAGGAACAAAATTTACTTTGTAATTCCGTAACTGTTGTATATAACTATATTAGGTGGATTGATGTTTGGCAACGAATTCTAGGGAAAAAAAGGTTGATATGATATTTCCATAAGAGGCTAAACTAGAAATGCTGAAGTTAGAGGCAATTTGGTATTGCTGGTTAGTGAAAAAGAGACCCACTGCAATTGATTACATGCACCTAAATAACTATTTGTAGATTAAAAAAAATTGCATCAAGAGTAGATTAGGAATTGAATGCATAATTTTATTCCAGTTTCCTGGAGGAGGGCTTCAGCTCGGCAGATGATATACCCAAGGCAATCTCATGTACTGTTGCTCTATAATTAGAGTCCTTAGACTGATCAAAGATTTGAACATGTGGCATGTTTGTCTCATTTCTACTGTACTTTATGGACTTCATCATAGATTTGCATCTGTTTCTGTGATGTTAAATATTCAAATTTAGGTCTCTATGATATTTTCCCCAGCCATAAACTCTGCATCTCATCCTTAGAAAATCTGCTATATTATGGCACAATGTTCTTGGATACCAGTCCATGCTTGTATTTGTCTCTTTACATTTATATGCTGTGTATTTTTTATGAATGGCTTTCTGGATGGCATTTCAGGTTGAGGCTGAAGAACAAATTCAACAGTTGAAAGATCGGTGTATGATGTTGGAATCCATGTCTAATCCTTCCAAGGCAGACATAGATGAAACAGCCAATAATTTGTTTGACGAAGAGCAATTGGATCCTACTGATGCCATCCATCTGATGGGGGGATATGATGGTGAATCGTGGTTGTCGACTTTCAGTTTATATTTTCCCTCTCAAGATGTAATGAAATCTTTGAGGCCAATGAGCTGTGTTCGGTCATATGCTTCAGTTGTACAGTTTCATGAAGAGCTTTATGTATTTGGTGGTGGGAATGGCCAGTTGTGGTATGACACGGGTATGAGCTCCCTTACTGTTTCTTAATTTTTGTTTTTTTACTAAAACTCGTATATTTCTTGACAATTTTTTTTTTCATGTCATATGAAGTTGAATCATACAATCCAGCAAATGATCAATGGACCCCTCGCCCATCGCTGACCGGGAAGAAAGGGAGTTTGGCTGGGGCTACTTTAAATGACAAAATATTTTCCATGGGTGGTGGAAATGGGGTTGAATGCTTTGCAGATGTTGAAATGCTTGTTTTAGATATTGGAAAGTGGATCCCAACAAGGTCAATGCTACAGAAGGTAGAAGTCACTGCTTGTCTTGCTTTATATTGGTGGATCTTCTTGGAGTGATTTGAAGTTCCAAAGGTTTTAGAACTTGGCAGTTATACCCTTAGTCAAGGATGAAGTTTGTGATAGCAGGTTCATTTGCTTGTGATTTCCCATGTGCCTCTTACATAGTTGTATTTACTTTTTCTTTTTTTGGCTTTTCCTTTCAAGTCTGCTTTTCATGACCTCGAGTAACTCTTTCATTGGATTTGATATGTTTGGATAACCTGATTAAATGCTGTTCTACTGTTTCCTTGTTTTGTTCCAGCGATTTGCTCTTGCAGCTGTGGAACTCAATGGTGTACTTTATGCAACTGGTGGATTTGATGGGAGTGATTATTCAAAGTATTGTAACATGTCATTCCTTTTTGTTCCATCACTAGTCTTATGTTCTATGCTGGCATCTTTGGTCAAATTCATGAAGCATGTAATACTTGCATGAATACCTGCAAACATGCATACAAGCGAGCGCATTTATGTGCATAAAGGATTGAGATGAGATTGAGGATTTGGAAGTTGAGGATGTTTGCTGTTTCTGACAATAGTTTCCTGAGTTAATACTCACATAGAGATGGAGCCTGGTTGAAGTTTAATTTTTTTGCTTTCTAGTTCCTTTTCAACAAGATAATCTTGCCTCAGGAGCCAGGACCCTGTAGTGTACTGATTGTATACTCTATCTTGAAGGGAAACTGTGGGTGTTTAATCTACTAGGAACATATTGGAAATAGGCCCTTCACATAAAAAAATCCATTATAATGGCTGACTACCTTTTATTCTTTCAGGACTGCTGAAAGATTTGATCCCAGAGAACATTCTTGGAGCAGAATTGCAAGCATGAATGCAAAGAGGGGCTGCCATTCATTGGTTGTTTTGAATGAAAAACTGTAAGTTTTCATTTCTTACTATGTTAAATGCAGCAGTGTGTGTAATATATTAATGAGCTTGCAAATAGTAGTCCTACCCAAATTCAAAATTTGGTGTTTAAATATATTGAGTTTCACCATCCCAGCAGAGAGGTAATCCTCCTTAATTAGGCCGCAGAGAAGAGACCCAAATTTTTGATAATTAAAGATGTAAAATAATGGTTGCACCATTCCAGCTGCTTTTAGGCGCTATTTTCTCATTGGTTTGAATTATGCTACTTGATGAATTTCACCGTCTGTGGTTTTTTAGTATCTGCTTCAGGATGCATGCATGCTGTTAATTATGGAAAATTCCCTTTTTAGATATGCCTTGGGCGGTTATGATGGAAGCACAATGGTTTCAAGCACAGAAATATTTGATCCTCGTCTTGACTCGTGGATCCCTGGGGAACCCATGAACAAGCCTAGAGGCTATGCCGCCGCCGCCGCCATTAAGGAATCAATATATGTTATTGGAGGGCTGGAATCTGATGAGAACATGATAGATACCGTATGCTACCTTCTGCAAATATCTCCACGTTACCTTCTGCATTACTTTGTCTTTTCACATATGTATTTTAATCCCCCTACGAAATGGCAGGTTGAACATTTCAAGCAGGGTCAGGGATGGCAAGAAAAGAAGTCCAGGGCCATCAAGAAAAGATGCTTTTTGTCTGCTATTGCTTTTTAAATCATGGAAATGGTTGATAATCTTTTTGAGTGTTAAGAAATTGGTATGATGATTGGTCATTAGAAGCCAAAAGTGTTTTTTTTTTTTTTTAAGATCATGACGTGGGATGCAAGCAACAGGCAGTATAGCATTTGTTCAAGTATGTAAAAGACAGTAATCCCGTCATCAAATTGATCATCAAATACCACGAACAATGGTAGTTGCCTTGGTCACTATCTGAACTTTTTGTGCGTGATCTTGAATTCTGTTTGCAAAGATGGGATCGTGACTGCAGTTGACCTTTCATCAGTTTGTTGACATGAACCTTCAATCTACTTTTCCTGCTAGATGTTACAATTGAATTAGAACGTAATCTCTCTCTCTCTCTAATCATCATATTTTTTTCATGACAGAAGAAGAATGAAATCATAGAACAGGGAAAATGGACAGGGGAAATGATCTTAACGTTTGTTTGTAATTTTATGGCTGTGGTTCGTTTGATAAGCCTATGAATGAGAGAGGTCCATGCAAAGCTCAATAAATGGAGCCTCTTCGGCTTTTGCATGTGTAAGCATATGTTAAAAGTAAATAAATTAAAAAACAACGTTCACCATGTGTAAGCATATGTTAAAAGTAAATAAAATAAAAAACAACGTTCACCACAATCACACTACAATCACGCGATGTATAACCAATTGATTGTATCCTTGACAAGGTACTGCCATATTATTTTGATTTTCATCAGTGGAATCATGTGATTCGACCTGCTTTTTAAAATGTTTTTTATATAAAAAACATTAAATTAATACATTTTAGATTCTTTTCAATTATTTCAATATGTTAATATAAAAAATAAATAAAAAAATAATATTAAAAAAATCATTTTAATATATTTTTAATTGAAAAGGAACCTTCACATTACCAAACACATGAATCTAATAAGAAAACTAGAAACGTGATTTCAAGAATTTGACATTAGACCACTAAAGACCCACCATTACAAACTGCAATTGTTCATGCATATCGACCAATGAAGGTTCATTAGCATCAGCATAGCAGATGTCACTGCTGTATTAACATCAAAACCAGCAAATTTCAAGAAAATACACAGGATGAACATAAAAATCAATTGTAAATCTCAGGCAATGAATTAACTTCAGTTTGTGGGACTCTTTGTTCTTGTTGATACTTGAAAGTAAATCTATCTGGAGCCTACTGTATTTGATCGACCTCTGAGTTCCGATTTCAAGGACCTGTCAAATGATTCAAACTTTAACAAGTTAAGAGGCACATGCGATTAGGAGCTAAAAATGTAACAACTGCTTTCAACATTAGTACATGGCTGGTTCCTTTCTTTACAAAAGTATGTGTACAGTATAAGCATAATTTCAAAAAAAAAACAAAATGGTTATAACAAGACAGAATATATAACTTTGAAAAAAGAAATTCAGAATTTTGAGAGCCTGAAAGCATACCATTACGAATACAAGTACTATCAGCAATATCCAGAATCTTCCAGGGTTTACAGCATGCCTCTTTCATCCATGAAAAGACCTTCAGCAGCTTTATCCCAAGTAACGCAACCTAGCAGACTTATTAAGGAAACAGCAATAAAGACAGAAAGATTTCAGGTTTAAAATTATCCAATACGTAACTTTCATAAGTGTCCACCACATAACTTTCACAAGCCAACAGTGGCACCAGCGCATGATCCACAGGGAAAACCATCCACTTCTGTAAATTTGCATGCATAGTTTTGAAAATGTAGCAGTGGTCAGAGCTTTTACAAATCAACAAAGACAGAAAGATTTCAGGTTTAAAATTGTCCAATACGTAGCTTTCATAAGTATCCACCACATAACTTTCACAAGCCAACCCAGCATTGGAGATCAGCTGGCACTGGCGCATGATCCACAGGGAAAACCATCCACTTCTGTAAATTTGCATGCATAGTTTTGAAAATGTAGCAGTGGTCAGAGCTTTTACAAATCAACCAAGAGGGGAAAATTGACATCAGGATAATCTGATGTGGAGGAAAACGAGCAACTTCTCCACACTATCCTTGTTCATGCATACTTATCACAAGAAGATCTAGACCATTTTCCCATATACAAGGGCCAGGTTCGTACCATCACAATGATTATGAGATAAAAACAAGGTCTATGATCAACTGATGAACCCAGCTTCCAGCAAATAGAGGACAAATGCAATGAGGATCTGTGACACGTGAAATATCAAAAAGCCATTCAGTCCCTCCGAACCAAGCACAAATGAACTTCTTTTTCCTGGCAAAGATAAACCAATTCACGTTTTGGACCTCCACAGTGTTTCACTAAGTGGCAATCCTCAAGAGCACATTCCATGCCTATACCAATCCATGATGAGAATGAACGAGCTTTTGGAGTTCTGTAAAAGGGTGCCATAAATGTAAATTTCTTGATTTCATTGCAGCCTCCTAATAGGTTCAAATCTAAGAAGACAAATTGAGTTGACTCCTGACTCATTCTTATCGTAAGCCACAACCTATTCTTGCTACTGACATTGTATAAAGTAATATCCAAAGGTATAGCCACAGGTAGTCCAGAGACAAAAGGAAGAGGATTTTCAGAATCATTACCAGGAATATCAAGTTCTGCATTTATATGCCTTACTCTCGAGCATAAACTAAACAGCTTAAGGGTGAAGAAATCAACTAAGTTTGTAATCAGGAAGAGACTGCATGAGATACCAGCTTTAGAAGACTCGATCTCATGCACTATTTTCTTAGCGTCCATTAAAATATTGGATGGTTCAATGGGTCCTTTATCATTGAGAATCTCTATATGTGAAATTATGGCAGACAATTTTTTCATTGTAGCCGGAGAGCAGCAGATTTCAACTTTGGATAACCTCAACAAACAGGCCACAACTATAAGCTCCAACACATGCAACTCCTCTTCCTTGGAAAACCCTATATATCTATACCTCAGTTCTCTGAGCCTCACATCTAGTTTCCCAAATAGATATTCCAGTCCTCCTGTTTCATCGGACCTTATCTTCCATACAATGTGCTCCCATATCTTAGCAAACAGTTTCATTACCTGGAGGTATTGCAACGTAAATGCCAATATACCAGCAGATTCAAGGGATGCAGAGGTTAACATTGCCAATTCTCTCTTGCAATCCCTGCACAAGCAAAAAATTAGTATAAAAAATTACAGGGGCATTAAATATGGCAAGGAAAATTTACATATAATTAGAGTACAACCTCAGAGCTCTCACTGCTACATTGGTGCACCTTGATTGTACCAAAAGCCAGGCATCTCTGGCCCTTGCAATGATAAGGTTCACAGATTTCATGACTTCATCAAGCTCATCTGCCTGGCATTCTACAATTGAAGTAGATTTCATGACTTCATCAAGCTCATCTGCCTGGCATTCTACAATTGAAGTAGATTTCATGACTTCATCAAGCTCATCTGCCTGGCATTCTACAATTGAAGTAGATTTCATGACTTCATCAAGCTCATCTGCCTGGCATTCTACAATTGAAGTAGATTTCATGACTTCATCAAGCTCATCTGCCTGGCATTCTACAATTGAAGTAGATTTCATGACTTCATCAAGCTCATCTGCCTGGCATTCTACAATTGAAGTAGCTAAATCCTCTAATTCACATGAAATCACAGGCTGAACTTTGGAAGTTTCATTGCCAGTTTGTAGCATGGGCACACCAACGGGACCATTGACATCCTTTCTGCTATGAGTTAAAACAGCCTCATCAACAACTGGCAATAATGACAACTCCACTTCTGTGCCACAAGTGGAGGATCTACTGCACTGAGACAAATATGCAAAAAGTGTATCTTGGTCTACAACTTCTCTCAAAGCAGAAGAGATCCTCCCTAGCAAGGTTACTGCATAAGAAAATAATCTAGGTGGAATATTTTGACCATTCTGATTTTGTGAGAGTGGAACTGAGATGGCAAGTACAAGAAACGCAGCTACTCTTGCACTATCCAAGACCAATTTTCCCTCCAAAATAGGCTCCATCTGGATTCAAAGAAAGTGAACAATAAATCTCTATAAAGCAGATACAAGTATAAAAACATAATAATTTAAATGAAATCATAGAACAGGGAAAATGGACAGGGGAAATGATCTTAACGTTTGTTTGTAATTTTATGGCTGTGGTTCGTTTGATAAGCCTATGAATGAGAGAGGTCCATGCAAAGCTCAATAAATGGAGCCTCTTCGGCTTTTGCATGTGTAAGCATATGTTAAAAGTAAATAAAATAAAAAACAACGTTCCCCACAATCACGCGATGTATAACCAATTGATTGTATCCTCGACAAGGTACTGCCATATTATTTTGATTTTCATCAGTGGAATCATGTGATTCGACCTGCTTTTTAAAATGTTTTTTATATAAAAAACATTAAATTAATACATTTTAGATTCTTTTCAATTATTTCAATATGTTAATATAATAAATAAATAAATAAATAATATTAAAAAAATCATTTTAATATATTTTTAATTGAAAAGGAACCTTCACATTACCAAACACATGAATCTAATAAGAAAACTAGAAACGTGATTTCAAGAATTTGACATTAGACCACTAAAGACCCACCATTACAAACTGCAATTGTTCATGCATATCGACCAATGAAGGTTCATTAGCATCAGCATAGCAGATGTCACTGCTGTATTAACATCAAAACCAGCAAATTTCAAGAAAATACACAGGATGAACATAAAAATCAATTGTAAATCTCAGGCAATGAATTAACTTCAGTTTGTGGGACTCTTTGTTCTTGTTGATACTTGAAAGTAAATCTATCTGGAGCCTACTGTATTTGATCGACCTCTGAGTTCCGATTTCAAGGACCTGTCAAATGATTCAAACTTTAACAAGTTAAGAGGCACATGCGATTAGGAGCTAAAAATGTAACAACTGCTTTCAACATTAGTACATGGCTGGTTCCTTTCTTTACAAAAGTATGTGTACAGTATAAGCATAATTTCAAAAAAAAAACAAAATGGTTATAACAAGACAGAATATATAACTTTGAAAAAAGAAATTCAGAATTTTGAGAGCCTGAAAGCATACCATTACGAATACAAGTACTATCAGCAATATCCAGAATCTTCCAGGGTTTACAGCATGCCTCTTTCATCCATGAAAAGACCTTCAGCAGCTTTATCCCAAGTAACGCAACCTAGCAGACTTATTAAGGAAACAGCAATAAAGACAGAAAGATTTCAGGTTTAAAATTATCCAATACGTAACTTTCATAAGTGTCCACCACATAACTTTCACAAGCCAACAGTGGCACCAGCGCATGATCCACAGGGAAAACCATCCACTTCTGTAAATTTGCATGCATAGTTTTGAAAATGTAGCAGTGGTCAGAGCTTTTACAAATCAACCAAGAGGGGAAAATTGACATCAGGATAATCTGATGTGGAGGAAAACGAGCAACTTCTCCACACTATCCTTGTTCATGCAGACTTATCACAAGAATATCTAGACCATTTTCCCATATACAAGGGCCAGGTTCGTACCATCACAATGATTATGAGATAAAAACAAGGTCTATGATCAACTGATGAACCCAGCTTCCAGCAAATAGAGGACAAATGCAATGAGGATCTGTGACACGTGAAATATCAAAAAGCCATTCAGTCCCTCCGAACCAAGCACAAATGAACTTCTTTTTCCTGGCAAAGATAAACCAATTCACGTTTTGGACCTCCACAGTGTTTCACTAAGTGGCAATCCTCAAGAGCACATTCCATGCCTATACCAATCCATGATGAGAATGAACGAGCTTTTGGAGTTCTGTAAAAGGGTGCCATAAATGTAAATTTCTTGATTTCATTGCAGCCTCCTAATAGGTTCAAATCTAAGAAGACAAATTGAGTTGACTCCTGACTCATTCTTATCGTAAGCCACAACCTATTCTTGCTACTGACATTGTATAAAGTAATATCCAAAGGTATAGCCACAGGTAGTCCAGAGACAAAAGGAAGAGGATTTTCAGAATCATTACCAGGAATATCAAGTTCTGCATTTATATGCCTTACTCTCGAGCATAAACTAAACAGCTTAAGGGTGAAGAAATCAACTAAGTTTGTAATCAGGAAGAGACTGCATGAGATACCAGCTTTAGAAGACTCGATCTCATGCACTATTTTCTTAGCGTCCATTAAAATATTGGATGGTTCAATGGGTCCTTTATCATTGAGAATCTCTATATGTGAAATTATGGCAGACAATTTTTTCATTGTAGCCGGAGAGCAGCAGATTTCAACTTTGGATAACCTCAACAAACAGGCCACAACTATAAGCTCCAACACATGCAACTCCTCTTCCTTGGAAAACCCTATATATCTATACCTCAGTTCTCTGAGCCTCACATCTAGTTTCCCAAATAGATATTCCAGTCCTCCTGTTTCATCGGACCTTATCTTCCATACAATGTGCTCCCATATCTTAGCAAACAGTTTCATTACCTGGAGGTATTGCAACGTAAATGCCAATATACCAGCAGATTCAAGGGATGCAGAGGTTAACATTGCCAATTCTCTCTTGCAATCCCTGCACAAGCAAAAAATTAGTATAAAAAATTACAGGGGCATTAAATATGGCAAGGAAAATTTACATATAATTAGAGTACAACCTCAGAGCTCTCACTGCTACATTGGTGCACCTTGATTGTACCAAAAGCCAGGCATCTCTGGCCCTTGCAAAGATAAGGTTCACAGATTTCATGACTTCATCAAGCTCATCTGCCTGGCATTCTACAATTGAAGTAGATTTCATGACTTCATCAAGCTCATCTGCCTGGCATTCTACAATTGAAGTAGCTAAATCCTCTAATTCACATGAAATCACAGGCTGAACTTTGGAAGTTTCATTGCCAGTTTGTAGCATGGGCACACCAACGGGACCATTGACATCCTTTCTGCTATGAGTTAAAACAGCCTCATCAACAACTGGCAATAATGACAACTCCACTTCTGTGCCACAAGTGGAGGATCTACTGCACTGAGACAAATATGCAAAAAGTGTATCTTGGTCTACAACTTCTCTCAAAGCAGAAGAGATCCTCCCTAGCAAGGTTACTGCATAAGAAAATAATCTAGGTGGAATATTTTGACCATTCTGATTTTGTGAGAGTGGAACTGAGATGGCAAGTACAAGAAACGCAGCTACTCTTGCACTATCCAAGACCAATTTTCCCTCCAAAATAGGCTCCATCTGGATTCAAAGAAAGTGAACAATAAATCTCTATAAAGCAGATACAAGTATAAAAACATAATAATTTAGAGTAGTATCCACGGATGAAAACAAAATGATTTTAGATATTGGATAATTATTAACAGAGATACAAGGGGAAGAAGAAGAAGAAAATAATTCAACTCAACTAAGAATTCTTCTTCTATTTAAAGTTGCAAGTGGTTATATGTGTTGCACTGACAGCAAAACAAAGAGAAAAATAGGCATTGCCATGAACATGAAAAAAAAGAAAACCATGGGTTATGGCAAAAAAAAAAAAAAAAAATATGCAAACCATGGGTTATGGCAAAAAAAAAAAAGAAAAAAAATATACCATAGAAATTCAATTATGGGGACCGATAAGTGCATGATCAAGAATGTATAGTCCAATTACTCATGCTAACCTCTTGAGAAACTTCCTTGACAACGTGAGCAGCAAAGCTCCCGTGGCTTCGACCCATAAAAAACAAAACAGAGAAGACATCAGCTTCATCCTAGAAGAAAGGAAATTTCCAACACGTTAAATTAAAGGAACAGATCAAGAATCCCATTTTCATATTCAGAGATGCATAAGATGTTTTCTCTTTTAAGGATATCTCGCAAGATTGCTTGTTTATTTCTTCCCCCCCAACCTCTTGTGGTTGGAAGGGATGGAGGTAGGGAGGATTGTGACAAAAAGAAAAGTATACTGAGGAACAGCTAACCTTTGCATATCTCTCCAAGTTCTGAAGGAGGCCATGAATAGATGATCTAAATAATTTCAAATCCGGCAGCTTCACCAATCTAAAAATTTTTCTTGCTATTGATCTTATTAGATCACAGTTATCAAGTAGAGAGCCCAGAAACTGCAAAACCAAGCAACAATTGCATTATAGGCAACTACACTTGTGATTAAAAAAAAATCTGTGCAAGTCATACCATTCAAAGATATATAATTGGTTTAAGAAATAAACCAAAAAAATAAAATAAAGTGAAACATAGTGTGATATAGGAGAAAAAAAAAGGAGCCAATCCCAAAGCTAATGATTTGTGTGTAATACATACATACATGCATGCACAAATATGTAAACAAGCTAACGCACAAAGAGGAGTATTTTGGGAGCAACTACAAAAGAAATGTCACAAATAAACATGTAAACAGCCAGTATCACCATGTCACAAGAGAGACTTCTTATCTTCATCAAAGTTGACTGAAGGTGTCGAGCATCTAAATATTCTACCAAATACAATATTTATTCGGGATTTGTAAAGAAGGATAGGAAAACTTACCATGTGCATGTGTATCTCTTGCACATGCAGACACTCAAAGGTTGCCATGTGATGCAGTGTTTCTAAAGCTTCTAACCTTACAGCCATTGAATCATCATTCAACATGTCCATCAACAAGCTTAAGGACTGACGAGCAAACTCAGCATAGAGGATAGTGTGAATGCCCAAAGAGTTACAAGCAGATTTCCGCACCTTCAAGCAAGCACAAAGTGTCATAATCATAGCAGTCAGGTATTTGGGAAACACATCTTGGGCTGCTGACATTAAATATGATATAAAAAAAGGGGGTCCATTATTGTAAACTCCATGATATTTTAAAATCTCAACCATCTTCTACACCTATACATGCATGAATAGAGAGAACATATGAAGGATCCAATCAGTTTTAAAAGTATATCGCTTCTGCAAGGACAATTGTTGTGAACCATAAATAATAACTATTCGATCTAGAAAAACAAAAAGAAAAGAAAGGGGTATTACTCTCTCAAAGATGTATCATATCATGCACAACTATAAGATTCAGTGCAACAAAATGTTCCACCCAAGTTACCTCATGGAATTCATCCTCAAGCCCATGCACAAAAGCTCCAGCATAACTAGATGCTAAAATCTCAAACCTTTCTGCTGCACACTGACCATGAGAGTTCTTCTCTTTCATGATTGCTAGGACTTTTTTTGATATAGTTTGCAATAAAATGTCCTCAGACACCAACTTTATCTTGCCAAGAGCATTAAAAGCTTCCAACCTGACCTCCACACTCATATCTCTTACCATAGAACAGAGCTGCGAGCACATTAATAATATATTTAAGAGTGGAAAAACATTTACTATTAATTATTCAAAGACACAAATATATGCCTATACAGTCAAAACAGGCAGCAGGAGTATTCAATATACAAAAATAACAATTTACACCCTAACAAGAAATGAAAATTGTTTGTGTAAATTACATAAGAGTCTTAAATTAAGCTCAGTTTTGCATGTTGCATCCTGTATTTTCATAACATCTATTTCAGCAGCATTAAAATCTGCTATCATATATGTTATTATTTTAACCCTACACTGTACATTTGTTTAAAATTCTTTCTTTTCACTGAAAAATTCATTAGATCCTACATTCAAATAAACCTAATAAAGAAATTAAACTAAAAATTCTGTACTGGTTGCGCGAGCAAACATCAACTGCCCAAAAATCCTCCAAAGAAAAAACAGGCAGCACAACAATGTTGATGAAAATACCTGCACAAATACTTGATTTGACCAATCTATTTTATCATTCTCTTCCTTTGTTGCTATAAGCATTTGCCCCCATTCTCTTACCTGCATGCACAGCAGTAAAAGTTTTTTCTGAATATTCACAACAATAAATGAGTTAAATATTAAGTGATTATTTTTTTACCATGCTTTAATTAAACACAGTAAATCAGAAAAAATAATTAAAGGATCGGTTTTCTTTTTTACCACGCGAATTGCAGCAGAGCGCACTGAATGCTCATTATCTTGTAGAAGCTCAACAGCACGGCAATAACAACCTTCAATCACACTGATATCTTCAAAAGTGTTGCCGCTTTTGCACAACCCTACCAAGCCATCCAAAGAAGCCTTTCTCACATATGGGTAAGGATCTTTCGTAAACCCTAAAAACACAGTAAACAGCACGTGCATCCCTATGCCTAACCTCTCTCCATTTCTGAGCAGCCGTAATCGAGCAGAAGCGGAAGTGGCAGCAAAACACAGGGACATAAATAACTGATCACCGATTTTGTTGTGATCGGAATCGGCAATCGAAGCTAGTGAAGTGAGTGACTCGGTGGCAATTTGAATTGACTCTGTAAAGAGGAGCGAGCTATCGCGGATTGAGTTGATGATTTGAGAGGAGAGGTGAGTGCGGCGTGAAGCAAGGTCAGTGAGGAGTTTGAGGATGTGGTGGTGAGTTGTGAGTGAGTTGGTGTGGAGTTGGAGAGAGTGAGTTAGGGTTTTGAGGATTGAAGAGATTGTGGAATCAGAGGTGTTGGGGTTGATTATTAGAGAGCGAAGAGAAGCTAGAGCTTGTAGAGAGAGAGGATTATTGTTGTCATTGAGAGATTGCAGGCATGTGTGAAGCAACTGATGCTCCATTAAAGAGCAGTGAGCGTGGTTCTTTTGGACTGGGGGAGCAGAAGATGAAGAGAGATGAAAGCACACTGTTATGTTGTGTGATTCAAATTTGTGTATAGAGGCAATGAGTTAGTAAAATCCGGAATAGCACCTTGCAAGCTACAATTTATGAGATTTCTACATTGTCAAAGAGAATTTCAATTTAACAAAAAAAAGAAAAAAAAAAGAGGAAACATCAGAACTTGTTTTTATGTATATTTATGCAACAAAAGTTTGTCGTTTGATTCGTGTTTATATGAACACAAAAGCAAAGCCCTTAAGCATCCCATTCACATGAGTAAAACATGAATTCATGAATATGAATGATAAGTTATTTTTTAAATTATAAATCTAAGAGTAAGTCTTCAGAAGGCCTGCAGAGATTGCTTCACGTGTTCTCAATCAAGGGAAACATTGCGTATGGATCACAAGAATAAGTAGACAGTAGAACAACCAACAAGGCTGCAATCAAGGGAAACATTGT